AATAAAATCAATGTAAAATAATGAATAAAGAAAAATTATTTTGGAGAAGGGCAACAGCCTAGTGTTAATAAATAATCATCTTACCAAAAACAATTTATAGATTCAATTTCAATGCAATTCCCATCAAAATACCAACACAATTCTTTACTGACCTTCAAAGAAAAATTCTCAACTTCATATGGAATAACAAGAAACCCAGAATCGCCAAAACAATCCTCTACAATAAAAGAACTACTGGAGGCATCTCCATCCCTGATTTCAAGCTGTACTATAGAGCAACAATACTAAAAACTGCATGGTATAGAAGACCATGAAATAAACCCACACATTTATGGACACCTGATTTTTGACAAAGATGCCAAAACCATACAATGGAAGATAGCATGTTCAACAAATGGTGCTGGTCTAACTGGATGTCTACATGTAGAAAAATGCAAATAGATCCATATTTATCATCCTGCACAAAACTAAAGTCCAAGTGGATCAAAGACCTCAATACAAAACCAGACACACTAAACCTGTTAGAAGAAAAAGTGGGGAAGAGCCTGGAACTCATTTGTACAGGAGACAACTTCCTGAACAGAACACCAACAGCACAGGCTCTAAGAGCAACAATCAATAAATGGGACCTCATGAAACTGAAAAGCTTCTGTAAAGCAAAGGACACTGTTGTCAGAACAAAAGGATCACCTACAGATTGGGAAAGGATCTTCACCAACCCTATATCTCACAGAGGGCTAATATCCAGTATATAAAAAGAACTAAAGAAGTTAAAAAGCAACAAATCAAGTAATCCAATTAAAAAATGGGGAACAGAGCTAAACAGAGAATTCTCAATAGAGGATATAGAATAGCAGAGGAACACTTAAAGAAATGTTCAGCATCATTAGTCATCAGGGAACTGCAAATCAAAACGACCCTGAGATTTCACCTTACACCCATCAGAATGGCTAAGATCAAAAACTCAAGTGACAACACATCCTGGAGAGGTTGTGGAAATCAATTTGGAGCTTTCTCAGACATCTAGGAATAGCACTTCCTCAAGATCCAGCCATACCACTCCTAGGCATATATCCAAAAGAGGCTCAAGTACACAATAAGGATATTTGCACAACCATGTTAGTAACAGCTTTATTTGTAATAGCCAGAAACAACCCAGATGCTATGGGGAATGGATACAGAATTTGTGGTATGTCTACATGGAATATTACTCAGCAATAAAAAAACAAGGAAATCATGAAATTTGTAAGTAAATGGTGGGAACTGGAAAATATCATCCTGAGTGAGCTGTCCCAGAAGCAGAAAGATACACACTCATTAGTATATACTCACTCATGTAGACACATAATATAGGATAAACCTACTAATATCTGTACACCTGAAGACACTAATCAAGAGGAAGGACTCTGGCTAAAATGCTCAGTCCCCATTCAGAAGGGCAAAGAGCATGGACATCAGGAGGAGAAAACAGGGCATATGTCAGGAGGCTGCCACAGAGGGCCTCTGAAAGGCTCTGCCCTGCAGACTATCAAAGCAGATGCTGAGACTTATGGCCAACCTTTGGGCAGAGTGCAGGGAATCTTAGGAAAGAAGTGAGGGATAGTAAGATCTGGAGAGGACAGGAGCTCTACAAGAAGAGCAACAGAACCAAAAAATCTGAGCACAGGGGTCTATCCTGAGAGTGATACTCGAACCAAGTACCATGCATGGAGATAACCTAGAATCTCTGCACAGAAGTGGCCCATGGCATTTCAGTGTCCAAGTTGGTTCCATAGTAATGGGAACAGGGACTGTCTCTGACATGAACTGATTGGCCTGCTCTTTGATCACCTACCCCTGAGGGGGGAGCAGCCTTACCAGGCCACAGAGGGAGAGAATGCAGCCACTCCTGATGAGATCTAATATACTAGGATCAGAAGGAAAGAAAAGAAGACCTCCCCTGTCAGTGGACTTGGCAAGGGCATGCATAGAGAAGAGGGAGAAAGGGAGGTATTGGGAGGGGAGGAGGGAGGGAGCTACTGGGAAATACAAAGTAAATAATGTGTAATTAATAAAAAATTTAAAAAAGCAAAACAAAAAAATAGTTCACAAAAATTCATTAAAAGCATAAAAATAGAAGGCTACAAGGAACTCAGTAATTAGAAGATTTCACTGCAGATAAATTTAAAGTGGTTCCATGGATAGAATTTCAGAACCAGGGTATCATGGTAGCTATATAACACTATATAATCAAAAATTGTCTACAATTAAGGATTACAGTTTGTATCCAGTTTAACACATTACATGGGCTTTCAAGAACAAATCCTCAAAGATTCATTTTGAATTATCTAAAGAGAAGACACTTCTCATAGAAAACATGAGGGTGGAAGCCAATGCCAGCTATGACCACATCAGGAGGTCCTTAGCTGCTTGCATAGGGTGTAGTTTCGGTGGAGTCCCAGATTTAGCTGTCAAAATTTAAAATTTAGGCAAAAATCCTACAAGACAAGTATTTTAACAGGGGTTGACATCTAAAGTCCTGAGTAAATACTGAAGTTGGAACTATAGATGGAAATAGTGGCATAAAAAATATTAATAACCAACGTGTTTTAGTTATGGCAACAAAAAAGGAATTTTTCGCAGCGTTTGAAAATGCAACATCATAAAAACAGTCAAAACATCTACATCAGTATGAATTTCCATTAAATGGTTAAAGTTTTTTATAGTTTCACAACTAATTTTGTGTGTTACCTGCCTTTTGTACGTAGGGTCGGCACACAAGGGCAGAGCACATATCTGGAGGCCAGAGCACAGCTTCAAAGAGCTGGTTCCCTCCTTCCACTGAGATATCCCACTTAGGCCATCAGGCGAGGTCGCAAGCACCTTTACTCAAAAGCCATTGTTCAGGCCAAATTTTCATCTTTAAAAAAAAGTTTAAATCTACTGCAAGAATTATAAATAAATAAAAAGAATATTTCCTGTCCCATCCTGATAAATCTCTCATGGATATCTGACATCAGAAGCCAGCACAAGGTGTGCATATTTCTGTATAATCGATGTATGTGCTCCTGGGGAAGTGAGTGGTTCATGTGATATTTTCATAAATATTTTATTTTTCATATTTATTTTATTTTTCTTTTGAAGTTAAGAATTCTACCAACTTAATACTACATTAGCAATTTTCCTACCTTCATTATATATGTAGGTAAGATAAGGTAATGATAAATGAATTTTATTGAATGAGTTGGTGCATAATTCAGTGTGCAAAGGCAGTGTACATGAGACCCATGTGTTTTGCATCATGCTTGGGACAAGACCCAATTTTTCCTGATAGTATGGTTTGCAAGAGTCCTATTATCAAGTCCACTTTATTAGGAGACTATCAGCCAAGACATTCTAAAGAAACAATCAATTTTGAAAAGTGATATTTATACAATACAGCTATTGACCAGATGTTTCTAGTAAATGGAACTAAATTATGACCTTTGCCATCATCAGCAACAAGTCCATGTTTGCACAACTGAGTGAGACTTACTCATAAAACTGAAACGTGTGTGGGCTGAGAAAAATAAGTCAAAAGTTAAATCCCCCCTTCTCTCTATCTTTCCAGCTCCTACTTAAAAATACAAAAATTAGGGCATTGGGGGAGAAGAAGGAGGGTGGGTGGGACTGGGAGAAGATGAGGGAAGGGGTTATAGCTGGGATACAAAATGAATAAATTGTAATAAACAACTAACTAACTAAATCAATTAATTAAAAATAAAAAATTAAATATATGGCTTTAGAATTATATATAGAATACAGTTTAATTTATTTCAAAGCTTTTATTGTCAGCAAAATCAAACATATCATTGAGTTTACATAGAAATAAAATTTCCAATCATGTCTTCATAAAAATTCACAGAAGTAAATGTTCATATTAATGGTCAATTATATACTATTTGATCATGCCAGTAGCAGAACAGATCACCATTAAAAATTGGTAAGTAACATATCTTAACTGTGCAAATATCATCTCAGTTTTCTATTGTGTTACAATTCATATTAAATGTTTGTTTGCTAAATATATACCTATTACATAAAGCTTTTTAAAGTACAATAAAAATACAAATTCTATCTGTTAAAAAAAGCCAATTAGATGACTTCAAAGCATCCTCATTATACAAATTCCAAAATACTATCTGACAAACAGAACTACAAAGACTTCCTGATAAAGCTCACACTATTAGCTAGTTAACAATTAACTAAGCAGGAATAACAGAACATAAACAGGAAGGCTCCTGCATACCATAGAACATGATGGTACAAATAACATATTGCATAAGCACATTTGATTTCTGCTCTGCTCCTAATGAAAATGTACCCTTGATGCTTGCATAAAACTCCGTGAGTAATATCTACTTAGTTTTGATAACTAAGCCCAGATTTTCTTTATTTTCCTAATATTGTGATAAACAAAAGCAGAAATTTTGACAATAATTTTTTCTACACTCTTGATATTTTAAATCATGTACAAATATATAGGAAGCATATGTTTTCAAGGTCAAGGTCTATCAGCACATCTAAATGAGATGCTGGAAAATTTTATTGCTCATATTCAAGATGAAGCTGATGAGAATTTTTCGTTAAAAACGAGATTTTGACTTTAACATAGCAAATAAAAGGTAAAATTGTTAAATGTTCTTAAATTTAAACAGAATATCTCTCAGAAATTTTAAAGTATTAAAACTAATAGACATAAAGTTGGTGAGAGAAATATCACATCACATAATATCTGAGAAATACTGGTAAAATAAAAAGACAATAGGCATTGCATCTGTCGAAAGCATAAACGTTATTTCTTAAAATACCAGAGCAGATGTTGGCCCAATGTTATACTAATATGACTAATATACTAATGAAACTTTAATTTTTTCAAGAAAACAATTTTCCACAATTGTTACTCTCGAGACAAATAAAATATTTTTGACTATAATTTAAATGACTGAGGTTATTATTTCATATTTACTAATATTCTCAATATATTTTATATAATTACAGTTGAAACTTATATTCTTATTTTACCAGATAGAATTTAGTAAGCTGGTAGCATAATAGCTAAAGTTTAAATGTTCATAATGAGATGAACATTTTATACTCAAAATGACATCCATCTAATGCCTGCTAGCCTGTTTACTGATATCAGAACAGAACATGTATAATGGCCTGTCTCCTACCAAATTGCAAAGATATCAAGGTATGGCTTTGGGGACAAAGATAATGAATTAATGTCCTGGAGAATGAGCATAAATTTCAAGGTGATGATTATTTAGAACTTAGACAAAGCAGATATTCAGCAAACTTTTTTTTTCAATTATAAGTTCACCCAGAACACAAAAGGGAACATAAAAGTCCAATATACATTACACTAAGTTCTGTTTAAAATAACAGATAAATCAATGGTGAAAGTGGGGAGATTTTTACTTCAATTTCAAAACATTTAGATATGCAAAAATATATTGGCACAAGTATACTATCTGTCTGAAAATAATGAATGATGTACATGTATATAAACCAATTATGCACAGCAGGATCGCACATTCGTGATGTCAGCACCTGCTGTCTAATGGGTCGAGACAAAACACTGTGCCTTCAAGAGTCAGTCCCATTTTGAACCCCTCCTGTAAAGTAGAATAGAATTGTTAAAAGTAGAAACACCAATGGCAAAAGAAAAATCATATAATCACGTCAGTAAGTAAAGACTATGAACATAGTCAAAATTGCTGCTCTAAGGAAGGTTAAAGTTTGGCTTATCAAACCTTTATACTTAGGTACATACATTTCACTGTCTTAAGCCTATGAGATGAATGTCATGAGAAACAGAAGAACACACCAAAATAAGGCATGAAAGAGCTGTAAGACATCCATTTCTTTCAAAGTAGACATTTTCAATACGCCATTTTACTCTAACTTATTACTAGTTTTTTTAAATTTTGTGTTTGTGTGTGTCTGTGCGTGCCTGTGCATAGCCATGTATGTCTCTGTCTGTGTATGGCTGTGTGTCTGTGTGTCTGTGTCTCTGTGTGTGCTTGTCTGTGTATATGTGTGTGTGTCTGTGTGTGCCTGTGTGTGTATGTGTGTCTCTGTGTGTATTTGTCTGTGTGTCTGTGTGTATGTGTCTGTGTGCATGTGCACACGCATGTCTATGTGTCAATGTGTGTGTGTGTGTGTGTGTGTGTTTGTGACCAGGACACCAGAAGATGGCACTGCATCTCCTGGAAGTGGAGCTGCAGATAGTTGTGAGCCATTCAGTGTGGGTCATTGAAATGGAACTCAAGTCCTCTGGAAGAGCAGCACATGCTCTTACAAATGGCCCTGAGTTCACACTACTGAGCTATTTGTCTAGCACCTCTGTTGGGGAGGGCTCGAAGAAGCTGGAAAAACTTCATTTTTTTTTTTTTTTCTGATACCACAGTCCAAACCCTGAGTCAAATACCTTTGCAAGGACAGCGCTGTACTCCAAACAGGATGCAGTACCACGAACGGGAACATCATCTGAAAGCTGCCCTTCAGTTCTGCTATTGCTTTTCTTTTCCAATCATTTTAATTACTTGTTTTTATTTTTGAAATTATAATATAATTACATTTTCCCTTCCCCTTTCTTCCTGTAAAACCTCATATACTTGTTTTCTTCAAAATTTATTCCTTTTTTGTAACTGTTGCTATATATATCACGTATGATGCCATCCCATTTATTGGCAATCATCCATCAATAACTATATATAGCTATATGTAACAGCATAACTTTACACATACATACACATATACAAACATACACACATATATATGTGTTTGTGACAGTCTCAACTGTGACTCTTGACCTTCCATGCTTTTAAGTAAGATGCCACTTAATTACTGAATAACTAATTAGTGAATAACTAGCTGTCAAGAAAGTTTTATGTAGTTGAATTAAGGTTTCAAGTTAAAAGCTGATGGCAAAGAAGTATATCCTCTATATCAAACTCTTTACTTTCCCTCCCTCTCTCTCTTACTTCCTTTCCCCCTCTCTCCCTCTCCTTCCTTCCTTCCTTCCTTCCTTCCTTCCTTCCTTCCTTCCTTCCTTCCTTCCTTTCTTTCTTTCTTCTCTTTCTCTTTCTCTTTCTCTTTCTCTTTCTCTCCCTCTTTCATGTCTCTTGGTCTTGTGGGTTTTTTGTTTTGCTTGGTTTGGTTTCATTTCTTGAGACAAGATTTCACTGTGTAGTTCTGGCTGTCCTAGAACCTGCTTTCTAGACTAGGGAGCCCTCAGACTCAGAGATTCACATGCCTCTATCTCCTGAGTGCTAAAATTAAAGGTATGCTCCACTATGTCCAGCTTCTTTTCTATTTTACAAAGAAGCAATTAAATTATAAGGTGTCTTTGATCCTTCAATCTTTCTCCAACCTCATCTTTCCCCTAAATCAATGCACACTGGCTGAAAAAAAAAAAAGAAGAAGAAGAAGAAGCATAGATAAGTGCTAATCAGTGGAAATACAGGTCACAGGTAGATTTCCTTGGGAAGCATGGTGATAGCGCCCGCTTACTTTTATTTATAATAAGCATTTATATTTGTGTAATACAAACATTATTGTATACTGGAAGAAAAAGCTGTAAAAATGTAATCACATCAGGAGTCAGCTCCCAGATACTCCCACACATGTTTATTGTACACAGACTACATAGCAGTATCGGTACTAGAAAAGCTTCCAAACTTCTTCCTTTCATTTAGGTGCAAACCATATTCAATGGACAAAGGTCATAGTAGTTATTAATAATTTTAAAAGCTGTATAATAATAAGAACCTTTTACTATGTGTATGTTTACTTGTCCATAGTAATTATTAAATGCTTTTGAAGGTGAATACTGAAAAGAATACTCATTATTCTTTTTCATAGATTTGGTTGCTAAATAAAAACCTGCACACTCTCATCATCTAGGGTATTTTGAATAACAAATTATGATAAATAGATGATAGATAACATTAGACAGCAGATACATACCTGATATGATATAACAAAGTGATATGAAAGAGGGAAATTTGATGCCACAAAGTACTTTAAAATTTTATTAATTCATTCTAAAACTAAACCAGTTATTATTTCACTGTTCTTAAATATATTAGTCAATCAGAGCCACCAGTATTTTAAAAGCAGGTCAAAACAAATAAAATTCACATCACTCTCTCACTGATAAAGTGTTTGCTTACGCACTGATTACAACATGGCTGCTGTGAATCCCTTAGGCTAATCATTAGTTAACAGATAAGTTCACTGGTTTCCTTTTCTCCTGAAATAAAACTTCCAGTACATTTACCGAACTCCCTTCAGTAGTTCCATTTTTTGTTTTATAATGTAATGAATTTTGACTCCCCCTTTTGAATCTTTAAACCTCTAATTAAAAATGAGGCTTAAGGAGCCTTATTAGCACAATAGGGAATGTGTCAGGCTCAGAAAAATGAGACTTATTTGTTTAATTTAATGATGGGACTATTATTAAATAACATCATAAAATAATTGCTTTATAATTAGTTGAACTATCAATCATATTCTTTTTATATGAAACACTGTTCTGAACTGTGTTTCCCTCCTTTCAGTCAGAGAACAGCATATAGAGAAGAAAAGAGCCGTTGTGACAAAAGGGATCAGACACTGAGGTGAGTCTTTCATTACCTGTTCTTACAGCATTAAGTTTCATGAGAGTAGAAACTTTTCTCATAGACCTGTTAGCTAAGAGAACTTTTTACATTGCATTTTTCACAATACTGACTTAGTCTAATAACTTGTTAACCTTTATAGTATCAATTAGTTTCCGTTACTTTACAATCATGAATAAGAACAGCATAATTTCATGAGTAAAAATTTAATATTTACAATTATTTGTTTCTCTTTTAAATAACAGAAAATATAAGTGTAAATATTAGTATCAAATGACTCACCAGAGAGATGTTAAACTATAAACTATCCTTGGTCTAAGTAGCATTTAGACTGCTTGTTTCTCAACATTTCCATGTATATTGTTGATTTTAAAAACTTAATTGCCTCTTAAGTAAAAATGGCACTTATCATTTAAAGTTATTTGCATGTCTGCTTTGATTACCCAGGGCACAGTCACATATGAGTCAACAAACTGTGGCCTTTTGGTTGTTGTTGTTATTCATGTCATGAGTGTTTGGCCTCCAAATCACTTGTCTGTCCCTTTAATTACACACATATATGTAGGTACTCGTGTAGGCATGGGTTTGCATGTCTATGTATGTGGATGCATACAAAAGCTAGAGAACAATTTTGGGCATCATTCCCCAGAAATGCCAGCGACCTTCTTGAGACACTGGACTAGAGGTACTGCTTGTATTTCATCTACACATAGGGGCCCACATTTTTAAACAGTTGACTTGACAGTTGACTGTGCATTATTCTTTCATCCTATATAGACTGCCATTGTTTGTAAACACAATACTTTGTTTTATGCATACGTATACAGAGCCCTGTGTGTGTGTTTGCATATATGTGTGTACAGGTGTATGTGTAAGTGTGGGTGTACACAGACAGGCATGTATGTGGAGGCCAGAGGTCAAGCTTGGCTTTCATTTTTCAGATATGTCTTCCATGTCCTTTGAAACAATTTCATTTGCTTGAAACGTCCCAATCCGTTTACACTGTCTGACAAAGAAGCTGCAGGAAGCCTCCTGTCTCTGCTTCCCTTGTGATGAGATCACCCTGCATTTTTACATGGGTTCTGAGACTATGTTTTCAATGTTTGCATGACCAGCACTTTACCAACTAAGTTATCCTCTTCAACTCTGTATTTCATTATTATAATTCATAGGATATGCTCATGGCTATCAGCACTATCCTATTTCTTTGTCTGACAGAGACCTATGCCTTGCAGTTTAAATTATGTCAGATCAAATAACGACATGATTGATTTCAAATATATGTTAAAGCTTTCAACTATTTGAAATGAAATATAGCTTCAATTCTTACATATGTGAGATATTCCAAGAATCTCAAAGTTAGTACTGAAGCTCTTAGTAATAATTTAGTTTTAATCCTGTGTAATGAAAAAGGAAAAATAAATATTTAGCAAGGCTTATCACTAATGTCATATACTATGCCAGCATTTTATATAATATGCAACGATGAACAGACTACCTATATGTATATATTAGATTAATTAGAATAGTAAAATCAATGATAAATTTATTAGAGACTATAAATGAAAGAAATATTATTTTACTATAGTTAAACTGGCCTTCCAAGTAAGTCTTGAAGTACTAGAAACACACACTGAGTGACAATGAAATATTGACAATAACTAAAATATTAACCTGAAGATTTGAATTACAAAACCTCTTTAAACACATTGAACTAATCACACATATCCATATGAAACTTGTTTGAATAATTATTAAGTGAATCATGCAAATACATATATTTAGCTCTTAAAAAGATTGTTATCTCTTTAAATTTTGAAAATGAGATAGATACCAACCATCTTTGGCGCTACCCACCATGAAAGCAGGAGAATAAAAAAGATATTAAAAAGGAGTTAGAGACCTCAAAACCAAAAGCATTACATCCCAGTTAAACAATATCTGATTAACGCATTGCTAAATCACTCATACCATATTTTTCACACTTGGCTGCTTCTAAAGTCTGTAGGTAAAAGCTTATCTGTAAAACCTCTTGAGATTTTAATGTGGTATTAAAAACAAAAGAACCCTCTTGGAAAGTCTTCATGATCTTCATCACCCTGAGAACAGTTACTCCACTCAGTTTCCATGCTCATGTTCTAAAGACATTGTCCCAGATAGCTCATTTGAATTAGCACAGATGACAGACACCAAAGGAAAAAAAAATACTTTCAGAGAGGACACAGCAGTATGTGTCATTAACCAGTCACATTTAAGTGCAATTTTCAAAGTACTTGAGACGTATTGCATGACAAGATGCGCAGAAGGTCAACTGACCGCGCTTGGTTTCACCCCCACATCTACACATCTTATGTTACTGAATGCCTTAATGCAAACTTTGTTGATGCTTTTGATGATTTCAGTAATTTTTGAACTCTAAAAGAACTTGTAATAGAAAAGGAATTTGAGTACTTTCGATATATACATATTTTAAAACGTGAAGTATTTTAAATGCTGGCATGTTACTAAATCTAGGACAAAAAGAGATATGCACATAGCAATGGCAAAAGGCAGCAACATGTCACTTCATTAGTGTCTCAGGGACAGCTTTAAATGACAGTTTGTCGCTGACGTGGCACGAGGAGGGAGTGTGTTAACCAGGACCAGGGGCAGAGACAACTCCACTTTCTCATAGTGTCTCAACCACCCGTCTCTGTCCGCTCCAAGTGACTTGTGCTGTTCTGCATTCCGTCAATTATAAACACTGGTGATGTAAATGAGAATAATTGTTCGATTCTAATATAAAGAGCAGATATGAAGAGAAGTCTTTATTCTGGTCTAAGTATGCCTATTTTCCCATCATGCTCCAATTTCTTTCAACTTACAGAAAAATTTAGAGAAAAAAGTCAGTTTGACTACAGTGCTAAAGAAGTTGCCACTGGTGTCTGCTCTGTCAAAAGTCAAAGAGTCATGAACCACAGTTACAATGGTTCTTTTCAGGAAGAATGAGTTTAGTCTTACAAAGATTCTCCCTTATCCAATCCTTTCACAATTTTGAAATTCAGAACTATTAAGACAGAGACAAAATCCCACAGTGTGATTGCAAATGGCCTTTTAAGTTCTGAATTTAAAAAAATAGAATTCTGTCATTTTGTATTAAAAATAACTATCTTCTTTCCATTGTATGTTGAATCACTCAAAAAAAAAAAAAGGAGAGAGAGAGAAAGCCACAATCCTTAGCACCTGTACAGTGTTTTTGGAGTAAGCATAATTATTTTCATTTTAACTGCCTTCAGCCAACATGGGATAGATTCACTACAAACCTCTGTTGCTGTTGTTCCATATTAAAAAGAAATAAAAAAAGTGTGATCAACTCTATTAAAATAGTCACCTGCATCTCATCTAATTTGGACTGAATATCTGGAGGGAAGTCCCCTGCTCCACAGTTAAATGGGTCAAAAGGTTCAGCTCCAAAAAGGTCCCGCTCTGAAAGGACAAAAACAAGTTGAAAGTCAGATGATGAAACATTATCTGTAACCAGGGCTGTACACTCGATAAAACAAGGGCTGTGCTTCAAAAGTATCAACTTAATTATTATATTACTATAAGAACTTTCAGGATAGAATGTGCTATTGATACTTATATTTTATTTTGTATATTTTTGAGCTAAGTAAGCAAAATATATTTTATGATATTTAAAATTGTCTGGCACAGTCACATTCAGGGTGGTATTGCCATAGATAAGCATTCTATGTTCTTATTGATATGTTAATAGTAGTATCAAGTGCCCACCATTTGCCTGCAAATTTCATGATTTTGTTTTTAATTGCTGAGTAGTATTCCACTGTGTAAATGTACAATTTCTGTATCCATTCCTCAACTGAGGGAAATCTGGGTTGTTTCTAGATTCTGCCTATTACGAATAAAGCTGTTACAAACATGGTTGAGCAAATGTCCTTGTTGTATACTAGAGCTTATTTTTGATATATGCCTAGTTGTGATATGGCTGTATCTTGAAGTAGCCCTATTCCTAATTTTCTGAGAATGTGCTAGATTGATTTCCAAAGTGGTTGTACAAGTTTACATTCCCACCGGCAATGGAGGAGGGTTCCCCTTTCTCCATATCCTCTCTAGCATGTGTTCTCACCTGAGTTTCTAATCTTAGTCATTCTGATGGGCTTAAGGTGAAATATCGGGGCTGTTTTGATTTGCAATTCCCTGATGACTAAGGAAGTTGAGCATTTCTTTAAGTGTTTCTCTGCCATTCGATATTCCTCTGTTGAAAATTCTCTGTTTAGCTCTGTACCCCATTTTTTAATTGGATTACTTGATTTGCTGCTGTTTAACTTCTTGAGTTCTTTATATATTCTGGATATTAACCCTCTGTAAGATATAGGGTTGGTGAAGATCCTTTCTCAGTCTGTAGCCTGTCCTTTTGTTCTGATGACAGTGTCAAAAGATCATCCTGAGTGAAGTAGCCCAGAAGCAGAAAGACACATATAGTATATATTCACTTATAAGTGGATAGTAGACATATAATATAGGATAAACATACTAAAATCTGTACACCTAAAGAAGCTAAGCAAGAAGGAGGACCCTGGGTAAGATGATCAATCCTCATTCAGAAAAGCAAATGGGATAGACGTTGGAAGAGGGAGAAAACAGGGAACAGGACAGGAGCCTACCACAGAGGGCCTCTGAAAGGCTCTACCCAGCAAGGTATCAAAGGAGATGCTGAGACGCATAGCCAAACTTTGGGCAGAGTGCAAGGAATCTTATGAAAGACCGGGGAGATAGGAAGACCTGGAGGGGACAAAGGAAGAGAAACAGAACCAAATAATCTGGGCCCAGGGGTCCTACCAAGGACCATTCATGGCGATAACCTAGATCCTCTGCACAGAAGAAGCCCATGGCAGCTCCATGTCCAAGTGGATACCCTAGTAAGGGGAACAGGAACAGTCTCTGACATGAACTCAGTGGCTGACTCTTTGATCACCTCCCCCGATGGGAGAGCAGCCTTAGCAGGCCACAGAGGCCACAATGCAGCCAGTCCTGAAGAGGCCTGATAGGCTAGGGTCAGACGGAAGGGGAGGAGGACCTTCCCTATTAGTGGACTAGGGGAGGGACATGGAGGAAAAGGGATTAGGAGGAATTTAGGAAACTAAAATGGGATTATTGGTGAAGAAAGGTCTTAAGTGAGCAAAATGGCAGAACATAAGTGATGTGAAGGAGAAAATGCATAAGGAAGCTCAAGCAGGACAAAGAGGGTTGGAGGGGCATAAAAAAAATTCATGTTGAAACCTACTATTTATAAGCTTCATGTGTATATTTCTGTGTTCATATAAACAAGTTTAATTGCAGTCATGAACAGAGGATAAGGTTCCTCAGCCTGAGGATCCTTTTATTCCATTTAACATCAGGCTTTTCTTTAATCTGTTTATCTTCTTGACCACAGGATTTAGTTCCACTTCCTGGTGCCCCTATTCTTGAACTGTACATTTTATATTTTTCCTTACTCAGCATTCTCCCTTTCATTATAGAACATCATAAAAGTGAACACAAATAACAACATGACAGAATCAATATTAGGCTATGTGTTGGGGTTGGCCTGGTGCTATGTATTCTAATTACTGGCCCCCAAAATCTTGTCCCTGCTCAGAAGAGGACATTCTCAGGTAAGGCTATCCTTGTTGTGTAAACCTATTCTTGTTATGTAAAACTACTTCAATCATTATATCTCATTAGTTGATTAAACAGTCTATACCTGGGCAGGGCAGAATGAGGTAGATGTGGCTAAGGTTTGAAGGGTTTTGGGCTCAAGAGAATCAAGAGGAAACAATGCAGATAGGAGGAAGGAGGACACCATGATGGGTTGGTGTGGAGAAAAATGTGGGCCCTGAGGAAGGACCCCAATAACGATGTGAAAAGGCCCAGATGAAGGATACCAGCAAGTGTCATGTGATTATGGATGGATGGTAGACCAGATGAGGAGGATTAATGTAGATGGCTTTGGATGGGGGCTGGGAGATGGATGGTGAGGTTATTGATATAGTGTAGGTGAAATATCTGCCCAGCCCAAGGTAAATAAGGCAATTATAAATCTAACAGGCGCCTGTGTCTTATTATTTGTGATAGTGGGTTAGATAATTTTTAATCCCAACAGCTGTTTTAATATTTCCTCTGCCAACACAATCCAAAATCTTCAATTTAGCCTCAGGATGACTTTTCAGACAAGGGCAAAGAGCAACCACATTCTTTATGAAAATATCACAAGAACAGTCTCTAGGCCACATACTAATACTTTTCTCGTCTGAAACCTCCAAGGCCCCCGAGTTTAAATCACCCCCGAGGCACCCTACATTCTATGTTCCTACTAGGATAGCCCATTAAGCCCCACTTAAAGCATTCAACTGCTTTTCTAATCCAAAGTCTCAATGACCACATTCCCATAAACAAAAGCATGGTCAGGCCTATTACACCACTATTCCCGTTCCTGGTACCAACTCCTGTCTTAGGATTGCCATGACCATAGCAACTCCTATAAAGGAAAATGTTTAACTGGGGATGGATACAGCTTCAGAAGTTTAGTACAATATCATCATGGCAGGAAGCATGGTGGCATGTAGGCAGACATGGTGCTGGAGAGGTAGCTCAGAGTTCTATATCTTGATCTGAAGGAAGCAGGAAGTGTCTCTGTGCCATGCTGGGCATAGCTTGAGAAAATAAGACCTCAAAGCCCATCCCCAGAGTGACACAATTCCTCCAATAAGGCCACACCTACTACAACTAGGCTTTACTTCCTAATAGTGCCATTTTCTTTTGTATCCCTGCTGTAGACCCCTCCCTCATCCTCTCCCAATCCTACCCTCCCTCCATCATCACCTCCCCTGACCCTCCCCAAGTCACTGATAGGGGAGGTCCTCCTCCCCTTCCATCAGACCTTAGCCTATCAGGTCTCAACAGGACTGGCTGCATTGTTTTCCTCTGTGGCTTGATAAGGCTGCTCCCCCATTAGCCGGAGGTGATCAAAGAGCCAGCCACTGAGTTCATGTCAGGGACTGTTCCTGTTCCCATTACCAGGGAACACACTTGGACAATGAGCTACCATGGGCTTTTTCTGTGCAGGGGTTCTAGGTTATCTCCATGAATGGTCCTTGGTTGGAGTAGCAGTCTCAGAAAAGACCACTGTATCCAGAATTTTTGGTTATGTTGATCTCCTTGTGGAGCTCCTGTCCCTTCTAGGTCTTCTTATCTCCCCCTTTTTTCATTCGATTCCCTGCACTCTGCTCAAAGTTTGGCTATGAGTCTCAGCATGTCTTTTGATTCCTTGCTGGGTAAAAATCTTTCAATGGCCTTCTGTAATAGTGCCATTTTATATGGGCCAAGCAATCAAACAGGAGTCTCTGAGGGCCATTCCTATTCATACCACCACACTACAGTTCTTGTTTGCTAATCAGAACTTTATGGCTAGATTTCAATGCTGAAGACAGTATATGCTTAAGTCCCAGCACATGGAGAAATCAAGTCGGCAATGACAAGGAAGGTTTCTTCACATTGCGTAGACATGGTGACTAAGAAAACAAAACAAAAGAAAACAACAACAAAAAAATTAGTAACAGTCTTACCTAGTTGTGAATCCTATGAGGTATTGACCATGGATTCAGTAGTGGAACAAAGGTTATTCAGGTTGAATTTAAGGTCTGGTCCACAGGAGGAAACACATACTGGCATTGTTACTCTGGCCAAGAACTCATGGTTGAAGGGTCCATAGGCCCCAAGTTGAATCTCCTGTTATTATTATTTTAGAAGTTTGACTTAATATTAAACTGCTTTCTAAATTCAGATTTCTATGCCTATAGACTTGTATATCTCTCAGACCTCATGGAAGCATTTTTTTTGTGCAATATATAGTGGCAAATGCAGAAACTCACAACTATCAAAATGCAGAGAATAAGCACCAGTGAAGTGCTTGGGCACAAATGGGACACCTACGTCACCCATTCCTCAAAGTTAGGAATCATTCTGTAGGAGGAGATAGAAAGACTGTCCAGAGGTTAGTAAAGACCAGGGCAAAGCAGTGTTATGCACTATGACCAAATCTCTGTACTCATTAACTCACAGGAACTGTGATGACCTACCCAAGATCAAGCAAGTCAACATTCCATCATGGAATAGGAAGCTTCTCCTGAGTTCCTGGCCTCTAAATGGGGAATTACATAGAGCTGTTGGCCTCTAGGTACGTGAGAGCCAGTTTTCTTTAAGGGTGTAACTTCTGTGAATTGACCCACACTCCTGAGTATAAGAGCAAGATAACTTAGGCTGGGTGAGTCATATAAATAAGTGGAGGACATGAAGTTGGGAAAGGCTAGGGAGTTGAGGCTGGATCTTGGAAGGGTTTGAGAGAGGAGAATGGTAAATATGATAAAAATATATTGCATGGCAATTTCAAATAATTAATAAAACTAATATTTAAAAATTCCTTGGTCATGAGTAGTGGTTCATATCTGTAATACTTTCACTTTGAGGGTGTGGTTCTAAATTCCTGTGGGCTGACATTTATAGCCTCCATTTATTATTTTCTTTAAAAATTAACCATTCAAAATACATTGAATAGTCAGCATGAGCAATGAGCTTTCCTGAGTTCCATACGGGAATTTCTACCATGCACTACAAGCTTCTGCTGACTCTTTAGAAGTGTATGTGAAAGGTCTTAGTGTGGACATAATAAGGTGAAATGTGGAACAGATTTCTTCAATATTTATGTGGTTGGATTGGTTATTTCTCAACCGTTGTACCAACTCCTTCACAGTCTGTGACAGGGCATGGATCAACACGCAGATAGATGCAGACAATGAATGCCTACTGGAAGCTTTCTATGTAACAAGGAGAGATTTAGATGTTGTTTACCAATACATAGAAGATATCTGAAAACATATTTAATATTGTAAAGACAAACCCCTTACACAATATTATATACAGAAAAATTATAGGATTTTCACTTTTTACATTTTCTTCCACCAACGACACATGAATGTCTTATAACAAGACTATTTAAACTACTCTAGGAAGCACATTAAAAAGAACTATATTATGATTAGTTATTCATAACAAAGTTAAGATATTAAATAAAGCTGAATGCACAATAAAAAAGTTTATGATTCAAGTAGCCCTATACCAAAATATTATCATTCATATAAAGTTCAACTTGCAAATAGAAATGTGTTTAGTATTTTCTCAAGTATAAAGAAAAATAGAATCAATAAAATTTGAACTTCTCTGTAGAGGAATATAGAATGGCAGAGAAACACTTAAAGAAATGCTCAATGACCTTAGCCACCAAGGAGATGCAAATCAAAACGACCCTGAGATTTCACCTTACACCCATCAGAATGGCTAAGAGCAAAAACTCAAGTGACAACACATGCTGGAGAGGTTGTAGAGAAAGGGGAACCTCTTTCTCTACATTCATACCAGCAAAGGAGGTCCTCCATTGCTGGTGAGAATGTAAACTTGTACAACCACTTTGGAAATCAATCTGGTGCTTTCTCAGACAAGTAGTGCTTCCTCAAGATCCAGTAATACCACTCCTAGACATATATCCAAAAGATACTCAAGTACACAACAAGGACATTTGTTCAACCATTTTTGTAGCAGGTTTATTTATAATAGCCAGAAGCTGGAAACAACCCTGGTGTCCCTCAGTGGAGGAATGGATACAGAAACTGTGGTAGATTTACACAATGGAATACTATTCAGCAATTAAAAACAAGGAAATCATGAAATTTGTAGGCAAATGGTGGGATCTAGAAAAGATCATCCCGAGTAAGGTATCCCAGAAGCAGAAAGACACACACGGTATATGCTCACTTGTAAGTGGCTACTAGCTATATAATATAGGATGAACATACTAAAATCTGTACACTTAAAGAAGCTAAACAAGAAGGAGGTCTTGGGGTAAGATGATCAACCCTCACTTAGGAAGATAAATGGGATGGGCATTCGAAGTAGGAGAAAACAAGAATCAGGACAGAAGCCTACCATAGAGGACCTCTGAGAGACTCTACGTAGCAGTGTATCAAAGCAGATGCTGAGACTCATAGCCAAACCTTGGGCAAAGTGCAAGGAATCATATGAAAGAAGGGGGAGTTAGTAAGACCTGGAGAGGACAGGAGCACCACAAGGACCAAATATATCTGGGCACAGGGGTCTTTTCTGAGACTGATTCTCCAACCAAGGACCAGACATGGATATAACCTAGAACCCCTGCTCAGACATAGTAAATGGCAGCCTAGCATACAAGTGGGCTTCCTAGTAAGGGGAACAGGGACTATCTCTGACATGAACACAGTGGCTGGCTCTTTGACCTTCTCTTGCCCTCGGGGAGGAGTAGCCTTGCTAGGCCACAGAGGAGGACGTTGTGGCCAGTCCTGATGAGACTTGATAAGCTGGGTCAGAAGGAAGGAGAGGGGGGCCTCCTTTATCAGCGGACTTAGGGGCAGGGAGGAGATAAGGGAGGAAGAGTGAAATTGGGAGGGAATGAGAGAGGGGCTACAGCTCGGATACAAAGTAAATAAACTGAAATTAATATAAAAAAATAAAAATTAAAAAAAATTGAAACCTACATAAAAGCATAATATTTCAATAATTAAGCTGCTCAGTTTTTATTTTTTATAAAAGTACCTTTTATTCTCCTTAGGTAACAATCTTCTGCCTGGTAACCTAGGCCTAGTCCTGGAATCTTCTAGCTCTGTACAATCTAACCTAGGCCTAGAATATTTTCAGTCTCTGAGAATTACTGCTTAAATAAAGTCACCCTTTCTTGTTCTTTCTGAGCTCATAGTTGGCTGGTTCAACTCAGCTTTTCTGGCTCAAACTCCTCTGCCAGCTAACTTATTCAGCCTGGCTTTTCCCTTGGCCCTGAATTGCTCTGATTGACCTCAAACTAGCTCTAGCAATTTGCTCTAATCTCCTGGCCTCTACTCATTCCTTGGTCTTTTCCTTAGTTCTTTTTCTGCAACCTGTATCTCTATTGTTGCCCCAGTAAAACTGCTCCCCCTACCTCTCTCTCTGCATTGCCCTTAAGTAGCTTTCTTTTCTTCTCTCTTCTCTATTCTGTCATGTTTCTCTGCTTCATCACTGTTTCTGCCACTCAATTAGACATCACTTTCAAAAGTGGGTGTTTCCTTCTACAAACTAACCTTCATTGTTTGGGATTAAATTCATGTACCACCATGCCTAGACCTAAGCTTTTCTTTTCCTGAAACTTGCTCTATACCAGGCTGGCCTTGGACTCAGATCTGCTTGCCTATGTTTTTATTCTAGCTGGATCTTCTTGCCAGAAGAGCCATGTTCTGAATTAAAATTTCTCTACAATTTTATTTCTACAAAATGTGAAAGGTTGAAAGTATACCAAAATACAGCAAGAAACCCGATAGGATGAGCATGCTTACTGATCTCTGCAGTTCTGCTAGGAACTGTTGGTAACTGTGTGCCATTTCGAGCAGGTGTTGGAGACTGATGTGATATTGGGGAAAATGGAATCATATCAAAGATGTCAGTAGAAGGAGATGTCACTGTCACACTGCCAGCCTGCAATAAAGATAGTAGTCAGTGTCATGACCCATGCACACGTATTCTTATCCCGAGAAAATCATATACACGTGAAACACACAAACAACCCTGAGGTGAATCAGACAGCTTGCCATTCTGTAAACGAAAAGTGGTTAACTATATTTCATGTGTTTCACACTAACACACCAAATTCTCATGTAAAAGAAAACAACTAAAATTTGTTCTCAAAGTGGATAACAGCAATAGTTTGGCTGATGTTGAAGATGGATGAGAAGGTATTCTTGTATATATATATATATATATATATATATATATATATATATATATATATATATATATA